CTGTGAAACTCAGTAACACCATTCTCATATCTTTTCATGTCCATGTGAATCACAGGGAAAGGTTCTGGTGCTCCAGAGTCAGGTGCGGGGAAGAGTAGGCTGGAAGCACATCATTCCATGAGTGCATAGCAGGGCTTGTTCTGTGTGGTGAGGTTGCGAGGTATGACTTTCATAGTGTACTAACCAAAAGCCAGATAGGAGATAGAGGGAGGTGCAACTCTCTCTCCCCCCCCCGCCCCCCCCGTAATAGCTGTCTGGATGCCGAGCAACTTCTTTATTGCCAACACAAGCAAAGAACAAGGCTGCTTATCCCAAAGAACAACTGAAAGTAAAACCGCACGTTCCTTCTCCAACAGAAGGTGAAGCATTTACAAGCCAGGTACCTATGTTTGTCTTTAGTCCGCTATGGTCTGTGTCTCATTAAACTATTCTGGATGCTGATTTTTTTTTCCAGCTAACAAATTATGGCAAAGGTCAAATGCACTCCAATTAAATTACAGTATGTAGCAAATATTAGCCCTGAGTTTCCGGGTGACACACCATATAGTTTAATCTCTATCGTAAATGGCATTAGCTAGATGAAACTGGAAGGATTATTTGTCTGAGCCACGTGGCTGGAAAGAGTGTTTCCTGGTGTAATGACAAACAGACCTGGAAATCAGGAGCAGCAGTGCAGCCGTCCAATGTAAATGCAATGCGTATTCATCACAAATAAATGGGAATAAAAGTGGGCAATGTGAATATCATGCATTGGTGGAGAACGGGTGAATGATAAACATAATAGTTTGTCATCCCAAACACCGCTCACAGATAACAATACTTTCAGATTTCGCATTTTGGATGAGATTTTGAAAAATGTTTCTACGTGATGCAGTTACCATGGAAACCAATGAAATCAGCACGTACATTCCACTGGTGATTACTCTACTTCTATAACGTTCTGCAGCTTTTCTGATTTTGTCATGTTGATAAACCACCCCATTGTGCCAGTCATAAATTTGTCTTTCAAACTTTGTATTGCATTATTCGTCATCAAGGATTACTGAACATTAGAGAAAGCATGTAAATGCTTGATACATTATTATTGAAAGAAATGTTTTATGTCTGGCTAACATTCTAACTTAATCGAAACAGTCAGAATGTTCACTTTTATGTCACTTTTCTACTGGTGCAGTTTCATTGTTTCAAACAAGCAGACTCCTCCATTTCTGCTGTATCAATCCGACATAAAAGAAGTATTTTAACTAATGGTTTCTAATCATATCCACCTGATACTTAACAGAGTATAATATTATATTGTATTATCTTTGAACTGTACGGAATAGCGGAGTGTATTTGCCCACTCAACGTTTATGCAACGTAAGGAGGCTAACTTGAACAGTATGAGCAGGATCATGCAAAAACGTGGATTGCTGAAAGTAGTCTATATTATGTCGGCATACGTCCCTTGAGCTAAGGAGTAGAGTCAGGATGCAGCAGATTTAGATGAAAAAAATACAATAAAATGTAGTGGTTATGGTGCTTTGTGTACCTTAAATGGCAAACTAAAACAGCCACGGCAGTATGTAATTATAGTAACCAATACATAGAGGGAGACATAAATACTTTTTCTTACTCAATACCAATATTAAGCATAAACCGCACCTTTAAACCCCTAAATAGTTCTAAGGTAAGTCAATCATCAATCTAACCTGCTTCTCAAGGATTCGTGACAGCTCTCCCAGTGCTCGGTCCAGTGCGGAGATCTTATTGGTGGCCCAGGCTCCACTGTCCTGTGCTTGAAGCTGCTTTTGCAGATCCTTTGTAAGTCTTTGCAATCTAAAATCAAGGAGAATAATATTCAGAATGTTGCAATAACCTCACGGTTTGTAAGAGCTGCTTAGGGGAAGAATTCATGCAGAGCACGTGTAGTGAGTTACTGTCATGTTTGTCTGCTCATCCCTTAGAGGAAAAAGATGAGTTTTTTAGGGCTGAGCAGTTTATCATGAGAGGTCTGTTTCATTAGATAGTAAGAATTTACTATGTCAACAATATTTGCTACATAAGAAGATTTGATTATTTTTCCAATGATATTAGTAGCAAGTAAAAAGTCCGTGAACCTCAGTTAGGCTTTTTTTCCTCCCATTTCTCCCGGCTGGTCTCATCTAAAATATAAGGCTTATTTAAGCAGTAATCACAATCAGATATTCAAGCACATAAAACGTGAATATACATGCCACTTTTTAATAAAAATAAATATATACTTTGAAATGTTATATTGAGGAATTGTGGATGTTTTAATACTGCTTAATCACTACAGACAGCACATATAGCTACCATCTTTTCTGCCAAAAATAGAATAGGAATTTGATAAATCCAAAAGAGAGTATGTTGTCTAACAAGAGAAAAACATTCACTGTTGTAGGGACAAAATAAAATCAGTGGGTACTCTGTAGGATCTGCTTTCTGCTATGCAACCATTAACTTTCATACATTTAACAAACCCAAAAAGAACTTGCTGCAGGTTTAGTTAAATGGGAAGCTATGAATATTATCAAACATATGCTAATGACAGATAGGATACTTCTTGGCTGACACCTTTCAGAATGTATTCCCAGCATTATAAAAGCAGACATTCATGCAATTAAAATGGGTTTCGAGAAAAGCCCAGAAGAAGGAAGACTCAGGGTAAAGCAACTGTATGCAAAACCTAACACATTCGCTGTTAAATGAATGATAAATATAAAGCCATGACTTTGCTTTGTGCAGGTTTGGAGAATACAGACTATACGCTTAACGCATAACATTGTAAAATCAACTACCAAAAGGTATGGTCCAATTCAGAAACTGAATTTCTTCAGGGATGAATAAGAGCAGGGAGATGGACAGGAAATGAATGCAAACACACAACCAACTAAAATAGGGAAAACAAAACCTGCTCTAGTTAAAAAACAAATGTAAAAGTGATATTAACTTTAACCGGAAGATAAACTGAAACATTAAACAATTATCTTGTGAAGGAAATGTTTATGATGCATCATAAAAACAACAGAACAGGGAGTAAAAAGATTCACAGAGCAAGCAGACTGCGGGAAGAATTAAAGATGATGGAAGTGTGTGAGCTACATGAGTGTTGTCCTCCATCATAGCATTGTCGGGGCACCCAGGCTCTGGGACGACTTGGAGACAAAAAAGTCTATGACAGTTATATGATAATTGCAACTCATGCAAAGCTGTTTTCACCAGTTCATTTAAAAGTCCCTTTAAGCGAAAAAAAATAAAAAATTATGATGTAGGATGAAGTCATATTCTGTCATTCACATCTTTTCAAAGACTGTAAACGAGCATCGCAGGCAGTGCTGTATTTTATTTCACATACATAGGTGGTTTAATCAGATACGGTGTCATTTGACATATCTAAAGAAAGATCTGTTTTAATTTTAGAAGATCCTGAAAACCCTGCACTGCTGGTGGTTACCAAGCACGTACTTTGCAAACCCTATGCTTTGACTCTGTTTTGTACAACCTTTTACTGTAGGGTGTATGTCATAGGCAAGCAAATTGTATAACATCTCTTTACTCCAGTCTCTTGGCAATGGTAAGATTCTCAGAGTGCGTAGTCTGAGTGGTATGATCATACTTCATACAGAGTTAATGAGAAAATCTCAACTGAAATTACGGCATCAAACGGATGCTAAATACATGACAATGTGTGGTTCTGTTTAGCAAATTTTAAATTCTATATTAAAATAATTACTTGAGAATTAAAGGACCACTATAGTGCCAGGAAAACATACTCGTTTTCCTGGCACTATAGTGCCCTGAGGGTGCCCCCACCCTCAGGGACCCCCTCCCGCCCGGCTCTGGAAAGGGGAAAGGGGTTAAACTTACCTTTTTCCAGCGCTGGGCGGGGAGCTCTCCTCCTCTGATCCTCCCCGTCGGCTGAATGCGCACGCGCGGCAATAGCTGCGCGCACATTCAGCCGGTCACATAGGAAAGCATTCATAATGCTTTCCTATGGACGCTGGCGTGCGCTCACTGTGAAAATCACAGTGAGAAGCACGCAAGCGCCTCTAGTGGCTGTCAATGAGACAGCCACTAGAGGATTAGGGGGAAGGCTTAACCCATTCATAAACATAGCAGTTTCTCTGAAACTGCTATGTTTATGAAAAAATGGGTTAACCCTAGCTGGACCTGGCACCCAGACCACTTCATTAAGCTGAAGTGGTCTGGGTGCCTAGAGTGGTCCTTTAAGGAATATGTGTTAAAAAGACTCATGATGTTTACTAGCTATCTGGTGCATTTTAGAAACAGTGTAACACATAATATTAAGGGTATTTTGTTATCCAAACAATGTTGGATGCCTTGCTACAAGTTATATTTAAAGTAATTTTTGGTTCCTCTAAACACATAAAAGGTAGAATGTACTTACTTTGCTTTGTATGAAGAATCAGACACAGGGGTTTTGGCTTCCAATGTGTTCTCATACTCTTTGGCTCTGTAAGAGAATTACAACAATCAGATGCCTTTGTGGACTAGTGGAAAAGGTGGGAGCACACTGCATTTGGCTATGGAAATTTCAGGCACCTTTACAGACTGGTAGGATATAAAAAATAATTCTACCATAAATTAAATTATCAAGGCTCGACAAATTTTCAAAGAATATAGAATCCAAGGCTAAAAGATTGCTCCCATGTTTCTGATATTAATCAATGTAACATCACTTGCCCGTTTGCAAAATTAGGAGTGAATTCCATCATTTTGACAATAAAGACAGTGCCTTTCATTCACTTTAAAAAGAATTTCATTTTCATTCTGATTTTTTTTTTTTGTAACGAATGCAATACCATTCTTTCTCTGGAGCTCTAGTAGCTCCTGCAATGAGCTTCCATTAGTTCTCCTGAGCGAAGACTTGCAGAGCTAGCTGATTGGCTGAGAGAGTCGTCCACCAGGCTAGCTCAGCACAGAGAGCTTATAGCTCTCAGTTTGCAAACAGTTTGGCTACTTACCCTGGGGAGATGCCAGGGCACTCCTGGCACCATAACCACTACATAGTTGTGTAGTGGTTATGGTGCTTGGAGTGTTATTTTAATAGGGACATACGGCCTGCTTCTTTCTGTCAAATTGCTTTCCGAATTGAAGTCTTATAATCCAATATAGGGAACGACCGATTATCGGTTTTGCCGAAATTATCGGCCGATATTCCAATTTTTTGTAAGTATCGGTCGATAATCACCGGTAATACCGATAATGAGGTAGGCCAGCGCGTCCATAAGGCGGCACAAGCAGCCGCCTTAGGGCGCACCGGCCCAGGGGGGTGCTAGATTGGAGTAACCGGCAGGAGGTGGGTGCACAGTGCTCCCTCCTGCCAGGCACTCTGTGTATGTGTGTGTGTGTGGGGGGGAGGGGGAGAGTTAAGAGAGGAAAGTACACCATGGGACAGGGGAAGGAGCAGGTAAGAACACCATGGCACAGGGGAGGGTTTGGGAGGAAAGCAACTTATGGGACAGGGGAGAACACTATGGGGGAGAGGGGAGAATACTATGGGCCGGGGGGGGGAAGAAGAGAGAGAGGAACATTAAGGGAGGGCACTAAGAGGAACATTAAGGGAGGGCACTAAGGTACAGGGAAGGGAAAAGGAACACTGGGGTAGGGGGGGCACTAAAAGATAAGGGAGAGGAACATTAAGTGGAACGGGGGGGGGGAGGGATTCTACCGCACATATTAACACATCCACTACACACATGTATAAATATTCTTGAAAACATAAAAAAAAATCTGACTGGCATGTATATTTTGTGCATTTACCACTTAATAAAAAAAAAAGATTTGCAAAAAAATTTTTTATTTCTCAAAACGGTAAATGTACAGATTATCGGTAAACTATCGGCTATCTGCCAGAAAATTCACAGATTATCGGTATCGGCTCTAAAAAATCAATATCGGTTGATCCCTAATCCAATAAAGGCACTGCTATGGCAGACAGAATGGGCTTATCTGCAGTAGTGATGTGCCGAACGGTTTGCCGCGGACGGCGAACATATGCGCTGTTCGGTCCGCCCCCTATGTCATCATTGAGTAAACTTTAACCCTGTACCTCACAGTCAGCAGACACATTCCAGTCAATCAGCAGCAAACCCTCCCTCCCAGACCCTCCCCCACCTCCTGGACAGCATCCATTTTACATTCATTGTGAAGCTGCATTCTTAGTGAGCTGTTCAGGAGGTGGGAGGGTCGTGGAGGGAGGGTCTGCTGCTGATTGGCTGGAATGTGTCTGCTGACTGTGAGGTACAGGGTCAAAGTTTACTCGATGATGAATAGGGGGCGGACCGAACAGCGCATATGTTCGCCGTCCGCGGCGAACCGTTCGGGACATCACTAATCTGCAGTATTGATTAAGTGATTAAAAACAATGTTATGTTAATTTTGCTGAAAAATATCAACTATTTCCATTATCACCTGTCTGCAAACATATAACATTAGAAAGTACTATTATGCTTTTTTCCTTCCTCTGGCAGCGCGGAGAAAGTGTCCCAAAATGTCTGCTCACTTGCAATGGATGGTTATTCAAAACTCCTCAAGTTTCCTTATCAAGAGGAATAATCAAGTTTATAGCACGGAACCGAACAACCTTAAGGCTCGGAAAACTGTTGGTGTAGAACCAGCTGCTGATGGAAAGGGGGTAGTTGTCATTCTAAAAAAGCGTGCAAGTCAACGCAAACCTGCTACATCCTATGAAAAAATAACCATCAACAAGAACTCCTGCGCTACTTTAAGCAGCTTGCGCCACATTATCCGCAAGAATAACTACAGGAAGGACCTCCACATGGATGCTCTCAGACGTGCAAGTGCTATCCTAAAAAGTCAGAAACCTGTTGTGGTGAAATGAAGCGCACCCGAACTGCCAAGACTGCATAATTTGTTCTGCAGAATGCATAATAAAAATGCTTCTACAAACCTGGAAAAAAAAAAACAATAAATAAAAATTACTATTATTTTGTTTCTTAACGCCATGTTGTTGGCCCAGATCCCCAATCGCCATTATATTTAACTGTTGCAATGCGATTGGCTGCTCTTACCATGAACCTGGGAACTAGATATATAAACTGATCTGAGAGTTGGAAGGCTGCCAGACGTCTCATTGAGATTTGCCTTTTTATTTTGCATACAATGTTCATTCCTCAGAAAAAGAAAGTTACTATAAAACATTTCTATGCAAATGTACCCGGTGTTCAACTATCAGATGGAATTCATGCTTACGATTTCATTATCTTTCACTGATGCAATGTATTTTGATCATACAGTACATTAGTGGATAATTCCCTGGGGCACAAAAACATTTCCTGTGAAAGGAACAAGTCAGATATACTCATTGCATTGACTTTTACAGACATTGCGTCCTTTTATTTTTTTGGGAAACTGACAGTACGCAGTCAGTACAGCCTGAAAAGACGCTCAATAGAATTTTTTTTTTTTGAAAAATGGTTTTTGACACCAAGAGAAATAACATTTCCAACAACAGGTTAAGGTGACTCAATGTGGTAAAAATGATCACTTGACATATTGTGTGCATGTGTTACTTTTTCATCACACTTTGCAGCTGCATAAATGATTTAGCAAATTTTAAACACAAATACCTTTCTGTAGACTAGTGACTAGGCTGTCACTTCTAGTCTGCAGTTTCAGTTTTGGAGTTAATCTGAGTGAAGCAATGATTCTGTAAGATACTATCAGAGTCAGTATATTGCATATCTGGCACAATGAAAGACATAAATAGCCCTGTACACAAACAGCGTCTGCAAACTGAATCCTGGCCAGAGATCAATGGCCACATTCTGTCCCTTCATAACAGCAACATTTACATCAGTGTCAAACGACACACCACATTTCCTTCCAATGCCAGAGGTGTCGCCATTGACTGTCATAATATAGCTGCAGCATATATCACCACTGCCAAAGTTTAACTTCTAACAACATGCATTTCTGATGGGGGGAAAATAACATCAGAATCATATTTCAATCACTGCACTCCTCTAGTGAGCCGTAAACTAGACAAGAGTGTGAAAACTAGTGTGTAATACAGAGAGCAGGTTAACGTGTTAAAGTAAACCATTTACTAGGGACAGAAAGCTCTGGAGTGAAATGCATCAGTCAGTGAATACTAAATACAGCGACTGGCAGGCATTACCAAGTGAGTCCTTCCAGCGCGATTTGCTAAGGTGTGATATTATAGCTAATTGTTTCTGTGATCCCTATTGGTGACTCGCAGGAAATGTAAAACATAGTATCACAAAATTAGAAACAAAGACAAAAAGCCAGACAGACATACAACCAGACATAAAAGTAGAAGCAAAGCATCAAGTGTCTCCATGGCTGCTCTCTTCCTACAGTCTGCAGCTCAGCTCAGTACATACAGAACACAGTGAACTTTTTTTTTATCACAAGGAAATACAATTGAGCATAGACAAATAATATAGCATATCTATAAGACCAAATGAGAATAAGTTAGGTTTGTGCCCACAGTGCCCCTTTAATGACAGGAAGTATCAAAGAGATGGACATCATCTGATTACCGTTATCATTAGTTACCCAGGAGTGCTGACGTTTTCTTGGTGACATATATTAGTGTAGTGCATATTAATTGTATATCATTTTATTTTATAGACCTTATTATAGGTAACAAGTAGCATAGTAAATCTGTTTCGTTCCTTCCTTTTTAACGTGCAGTGTTTCTGTTTATGTCCCCCACCCTAAAAACAAGACAAAACAGTAGTATAGCTAATTAACCTTCAACAGTACAAAGCTGACAAATGAGCTATAACTACCAGTTGCCTTTGCTGTGCCCATAAATCACATGCAACTTTTCTGTCACATAGTTTAACAAATGCACATTTTATCACAGCTTATTGTATTCGTTCAGCACGGCCGAGTACCTGTATTAATCTGGATGCACATTTTACAAAAACCTCAACAGGCAGATGGAAATTGCAACAAAGTATTTAACAAACAAATTTATTTCAAGCACACAGATCTAATAACTACAGCAATTTGCAAAAACAAACAAAAACAATTTAATAAAAAAATGCTACAGCTGTTAGCTCACCTACACATGAGGAAAATAATGCTTACACACCTGCTGGTCCAAGCAAGAACTTGTATGGCAAATGTGCACCTAGATTTACCACCTCTTTTAAAAGACTCCTTTACCGCTTTCTGCAAAGGATTCAGAGCTGCTATTGCTCCATTTAGAAAAGCAAGCATTGAACTATCAGCAAGCTGACAATAGACACTTGGTTGGTACTAACAGCTTTGTAGAAGATTATCACTTAAAAGAAAGAGAAGGCTAAGAATGGGTAAAGCTCAAAGTCGCATACAAGTTATTTTTATTTAGTGTTTGGATGCATAATAATAAAACGTTTTTTCCCCCTATAACTATTTTATTTCTACAGGTGCTTAATTTAGCAGAATAAGCAGGGATACACACACGCAATGTGTTTTACAGTGCATGATCCTTTCACGGTCAGTTAACTAACAGTGATGAGCTTGAGAGGCCCCTGCCATGTATCACCGACCTCAACAGGGGACACTTGTAGGACTATGGATTTGGAAGATGTAAAGTTGTGCGTTGCAGAATATGGCTATGGTGAGAAGAGGTCTGGGGGGGCAGAGGGCTGCTAGAATTTGACCTATTCTGGTGCTCAAACTTTGGAAGTGATGGAATTTGTGATTAATGCAAATTCACTGCAATAAACTACCAGGGATGAAGAATAATGTCATAAGTACTTGGACTTGTTGAAGAGAATTTGGACGGTCGTGTAATAACAGAGACAAATGGAGGGGGCCTGGAACAAAAGGAGGGTGGATGAAATAATAGAAGACAAAGGCTTTAAAAAAAAAAAAAAAAGGCTAGAAATATAGCAAGTGAAAATAGGGCTGGTTCATGTAGGGTTGCAGATGGTGCAATATGACTAGGTCACGATAAGAATATAGTTATTCTGTTTGAAAATGTATTTGTTGATGGATAATTCTCCCTTTTTTATATCTTTTTTGTTATCTTCTTATTTCTTCCTATTAATGTTTAATATAAAC